TATATATATATTATTAATTAATATAATATATATATATATATATATATATATATATATATATATATATATATATATACATTGCTAATAGGACATTTATATGTGAGATTGAAATGGAATATTACTAAGAAAATTATATTATATTAAATTATATTTCGAAATTAGTATTACATAATATTTTATTTTTCAGCTAGATCCATGATTGTGACAAAATGGTGGATTGGCAAAAGGCACTTCTAATGGTGTTATTGGCGCTTTTGATCTATCCAAACGATATATTTGGTAAGCATCAAATCTTCATCATTTCCAACTCGCAGATTGCATGCAAATAAAAGATGCCAGAAAGATTTTGATCAATTTGTATCAATTACACGATTACTACTTGAGATGGTAACGAATGGAGAGCGTGGATTGAAAGTGATTTCGAAAAAACAAGATTAATTTAGCGAAATCCCTTAACGGATCCCCGGTTGATCCGGCGATATTAGAGTCTCAACAAGAGTAGATATCTGTCGTGTCACGCGAACGTGCGCATTTGCAGATTTCGAGGGCCGCCGAACCCGATGAATACGAGAACCATGAGATATATATCGCGCTATGTACGGACAATTTTGCAACTAAGCTGCCCGACTGTGCACGACCACCTGTAAATACAATACCGGAACTAATCCGCTTTTGAAACGCACACTTGCACGGCACGATATACGGCGATATTGGCCTTACGACCTTCCACTCCGGTGAGATATTACTTTTTCTGAATGCCGACGTGTATTCCGGCTAAAGTGAACCATTTGCCGTTTCGTTAAAACACGTATATTATCGTTTATTCCACTTTACTGTCCACGCGTATAAACAAAAGCGTACATCTTTTTGCCAATATGGAAACTAAAAAAGCATGTCTATATGTAATATATTGTAATATATCCAGATAAAAAAAGGATACGTACATGTGAACTGGATCGATTTTCTCATAGCGCAGATTTTAAGAGCTCTAATTATGACAATATTTATAATACTAAAAAGCTAAAAGGTTTCCCAGATCAAGCTTAACGATGCAAATAGGTTTTTAGTTTATTTCGAGTGAGATTTATTTCAGAAACAAAAATAAAATGATTTTAATGAAAATGCATAAGGACAGGTTTTAATGTTTATATGTTTGAATATCGATAATAATAGCTAATTAATAAACCGGCAAATCAGGATTATTTCAGCTATCATATTAATCATCTATTAATTTCTTCATTATTATACATATTAATTATTTATCATATAAACATATATATGTATATGTATTTACATTTTATATATATATATATATATATATATATATATATATATATAATTTAAGAAAGCTATTCTTTCTAAAAAAAGTTCTTTATTCAAAAGACAACTTTCGAATTTCTGATTAAACCAAGAAGGAATGCCATGTAAAAGGAGATTAATAACAATTTTAAACAAAACAAAAGCTGTAAGCTCTTCTAGAGCACTGATTCCCAGCACACAAACAAGTTAATTAATTACTTTTGACGAAGCTGCGTTTGATCGCTGTTTATTCGCGGCCTGACAAGTTGAATAAGGGTTCGCATAACTGTTCTTTTCCGTTATTTTTTTCCAGCAAAAGAATTGAATTAAAAAACACTTTTGCTCCATTGCAATTTTCCGCGTTGCGTATTGAATCGGGGAGAGATGCACAGAAAATGAGAGTTCTTTCCGGGCAGACTTCGTTAAAACGGATGCAGTCGGTCGACGAGCTCCTTTCTTCATTAGAAAAAGAAACTTTCCGTCAGACGAGCGGCAGCGGGAACGATTTCTTTACGATGCGATGAAAGCGCTTACGAACAAATTGCGATCACAGAGCTTCCTCGTCAGCGCGACACGCCGGCGAAATGACGATCAAATTAGTCATTACTCGGATTACTTAATCGTACGACGAAGTGCGGTTAGAGCTTACAAAACTTGAATTAATTCTTCACTGTATCGTAGATTTAAATATCTTGCGCTTATTCTTCAAATTGCACGTACTCGTGCTTTTTTCCATTATACTCTCTGTTATTATAATTTTCCAAATATTTATATATTTTTCATAATCTCTGTAATTAAACTTATTTAAATAATTATCGAAATAAAAGCGGAACATTTCTGTTTGTTTAAAAAAGAAAATGAATTTTATGTAAATTGACCCATTTTATGCCTTTCAATTTAAATTAAAATTTTCAACTACTTTTATTTTTTGCGATAATATGATACGTCACATATTGAGTGCTACTCCCGTTTCTTTCGTTTCTCGTTTTAATTTGATATACGTAAAATTGTGGAGCACTAGAAATCCCAGCAAACCGCAAGTATCAACATATATAAACGCGCCTTAATACGTTTCAGTGGTCACTTAGTGGTTGCTAATACTAAACGCCCCACTCAAATTGACATTTTCCGGTAGTTACCATTAGCAACCACACCGACCGCAAAAAGTTGAGGGTTGAAAAAGGAATAAGGCTGCTATTCCCCTGCGCTCCGTAAGGAAAGGAACATTTTGAAACAAGGTCAACGACAAGAAGTTAAACTGCTCGAATCTGATTCAGTGATCTCGTATCCCATCTCGAGTCCTCCAGTAGTTGATCGTATTTACGAGTGGACGCGTAAATGGACATTTCACGCGAAGCAAAATAAAATGGTGCCCTGAACGCACGAACGACCTTTGGTAATAGTGAAACCGGCTTCGGTGAAGCTTCCTTAAATTAATGTACGCTCGACGTGCGTCGCTCGACAACGTCAGCGCGCTGG